GTAATTTGTTTTGTGAATTTACTGATATTAAGTCTTACTTGAAAATGTGAAAAGTTTAGTGTTTGCTTACCTTTCCCTGTGGGGAGCTATTAGGGAGAAGATTTTCTCTTATTAGAAGCTTGTGCTTAGCTGACAGGCAGTCTCAATCCTGCTGAAGGATGGTCTCCTGATCTTGTAAATGTGGGAGATTTTGTGTGGAATTAACACCCTTTGGGGTTCCTAGTGCCAATGATCATTAATAATAACGGAGAAACACAGCACAGAGGAAACAAACTTTAGTACATAGAGCTTGAGATGCACAACCATTTGATCATGGAAATGGTTTTCTTCTCCTCATAAGAAAGACCTCAATATTCTGTCAAATATTTCTGTCACCGAGGTGACCTGTGGACAGATCTCACAAACTGACTTCATGAACATCTGCTGGAGCTCAGGGATGCTGACCTGTATGCTGAGATTGGGCCAGGATGGGTGAACTGCCCAGTTGCTTATGAGTGGCTCTTCTCTGATTGCAGATCGGACCAAATGAAATGTCTGAAAACTGTTTCTGGGTAAAAGTAAATGAAAATAAGTATGAAAATACAGATTTGCTTTGTAAACTTGAGAACACATTTTGTTGCCAACAGAAAGGTAAGTTTAATAGTTTTGCTATTAAAGTATTTTGAAACCATTAGCATTAGTACTTCCTATTTACCAATCTGTAAAATACACTAAAAATCCTTTATTATGATAAATTTCCATTGCTAATCATATATAAATTATCTAAATTTGTTTCACAGCATTTTCGAACACAGGTGACCACGTGAACAATTTTAAATTGAAAATGCTGAATATGTACTTTGATTCTTAGATTTCCTGTTAAAATCTACATCAAAGCTGCTCCATTGAGTGAATTTAGGCTTTCTCCTGAATGACCTGTATTTTGAGAGACAATGATAGGTGAAATCTCCTTATGCTTTGGTGTGTATGTGTGTGTGTGTATACATATATGTGTGTGTGTGTGTGTGTGTAAGAGAGAGAGAGAGAGAGAGAGAGA